TATTTTTGGGAAAATGCGGGGCTTGGTCGGCGAGCGAACTGTAACCCTCGCGCAATGCCAATTTTTGCACACGCATCAGCCCGAGAGAGCAGTACGCGTGCCGTGGCTGCGATCCCACCCACGCACAGCCACGCAAACACAACTGTCCGATAATACTGTGCACGATGGCCATGGGACACGGGGCTGATTGGGGTGTGCAGGCTAGCTATGCAGTTTAATTTATGTTGCATCACCAGCCAGTCGTAGCCGCATCAACCTCCTACGGCGTCGATCGTGCCTCGTCTCGCGATATTCGCCGCCGATTTTTCATCTATTCACATACGTTCACGGTGTTCGTCTTCGCGAGATAGATACCTACCTATTGGAACGAGGAGAGGACACCAGAATACAGGCGTCGCGACGCTTGTGTGAATCTCGATCTACGAGTGTGTGCGTGCGTGCGAATACGCAGAGTACGGAGTTCAACAACGGACGCACGTCGGTTGGGCCTGCAGGTTCGTAGTCGGCCATATTTGTTAAGCGCGTCTGCGAGACGGATAATCGATTTTGCGGTTGATCTGAATTGTAGGCGGATAGGTGACGTTTATTGGTTTACTGTAAGGACGATCGACGCTCGTCCGATGTTTCGATGATCACTAGAGATGGTGATAGATTTTCACGTTAGATGATTATTCTTTGAATTAGGTAGATGGTGGAAAGCGTGTTCGCGTAGGTGGGGTGTGTTTCAAATCTTATAATTATAAATATAATTGTATCATAATTTAGAAAATATGACAGCTTATTTATTTTTAATGGTGTAGAATAAAATACACAGTTTTCATCGAGATTTTGTTACACTATTCTATTGCACTGTCTTGTTACCAATGATTTAAGGATAAATCTATGAACGTGTTAATTAACCTCAGCATTCGGGATCATTGAATGAATTCGTAAAACCATCTACTTGGAAGAATTTTCAGTTCGTTCAAGATTCCCGTTGGAAGCAGAATTCTTCCATGTCCTAATTAAAATCCATCGACGAACGCTAATTAATAACGGCGTTAAATGGGCGGTGTCGGCGCGAACGTTTTCACGCATCCTCCCCTTTTTCCATCGAGCTCTTTCCCTCGATATCAAACGTATTCGCGAGACAAAAAAGAGTTCTGCTTATCGTCACGTAAACGTAGTAGCAAGATCAGACGAGCGATAAATAAAGGAGCGTCAAACTCGAGGCACGATCGGCGGTGGCCAACTAGGCGGAAACGAAATCCGGGGACAAGGAAGGCGAAGCTAATTAGCGTGGATCGAGGCATCGTCGTTTGATAAATGAACGGTCAATATTTGAATTAAGGACATCGCCCTTTTCCCTATCACGTCTATGGCCTTTTATTTTCATCCTTTATCCATGAGTTCTTTCCGAGAATAGCCGTCTCGTCAGTCAAACTTAACCGCGTTTTGCCAAATATCTACGCCATGTTTACACGAGCAATCTCGACTACGAGATAGCCGATGATTAATGAACGTTCTTCGAGGTTTATTAACCCTAGAACGACTGAGCGGGGTAGAAATCTACCCCAGACGCTTCTAAGTTTAAAAGTGACATTATCGACTCTGGACCTTAACCCTTGAACACCGGAGCCTGGATTCAATCGTGATTATTAATTTTAATAATCTGCTTCTGTATTTATTCTGTATTATCCTGATCTTGACTTTGACGGCGTACTCGATTTGAAGTTGTATATCTTATTCGAAATTGTTATGCCAATAAAAGATTAATGGATCTAATCAATATTTACTTAAGGTTTCTTTATACTGATAAAGGATGACGTTAATGTAGCCTTATCGCGATGAGATTTGATGACCAGATATCATCGATTAGTTATTAGATTTCTTATATATATTACGTTCATGAAAAATTCTTATTTTATATTCTGTTATTCTCAGCAAGTAGGCAAATATTAATTTTGTGTACATTTGTCGACATTCTGCTACACCCTTTTGGTAAAATGTCACATCTCTCATTTTTTATTTTCTAAAATATTTTCAAATGTTCGAAGTTTTTTTTATTAAATGATTAAATAATATTAAATATTGAAAAATGCAAAATAGCTAAGTTTTAATGGTAACCTGTTCAGACAAGGGAAGATGAAAGGAAGAAAAAAAATACATATTTCGATAGGGTAGTATGAAAATGTAGGATACCTGAAACGGATTAAATGTTTGAAAATTTCATTACCTAGAGTTTCCTCGAATTACGTGAAGTGTTTGAAAGTTTTAGGCACCTGAAAATTAACTCAGTTACTCAAAATTAGCAGTAATGGTCTCGGGTAATCCATCGGATTTTGCGCGAGTTCAGAAGTTACTCACTCAAATTTCAAATGGTTGCGAATTATAAATAGTACCATTAATTTTTAACATACAAAAACTTTCTACCACTCGACATTATTTATCATAATTGTCAGTGTCTGTTTCCGGTCAAAATATTCAAGTATTATTTTTAGAAACCATTTTATTATCTGCTATAAAAATTCTATTTCAAGTCAAACTTTCCACTCAAAACATGGATTAAATTTTTGCTTGAAAATTAATCTTACTTAATTAATCTTATCTTAATGCTTGTTATGCTTATTTGATGTTTAATTCATTGATTAAAAAATTTCTAGGAGATAAGATCCTCCAATTATATGTATAGATAATACGAAATAGTAATATCATATATCTTATAGATATCTTATAGATATCGAACTTGGATTAACATTGAATTACTTTGCTTTCGATTAGATTCAAGATTTTGATTCAATTTAGAATGATATACTTTTGCATAATTATATAATTATAGTATCACTGCAACATTTAACGTGTTAATAATCTTTGACAGAAAAGATATTCGTTTGCTTACGCATATGATACCATAAGGTAGCATACAAATACACGGTGTAATCCTATCCGATAATAGTCAAATGGTCAATTAAGATGGCCGTCATAAGAACCAATTAAACGTAAGTGGCTGATCGAGGTAGCTCGGGTTTCGTATTTACGATCTGAAATTATGCCTTTTTAGTTGTCCGATGTCCCATTATCTGTCATACGATTTCTTTAGATCGCTCCCTTAATGGTGTAATCTTATCTGGACACCTGGTTTCTTATACACATAGACTAATGAACAAAACTAATTGAAGATGTACTATAGTCTTTTTCTGTTTAAATATTCCTTTCCTATTCCACTTTTTGTAACTTGTATAATTCCATTTCCAATTTAATTCTGTTTTGAACTAAACAGATCGGTTTGTTTAGAAAATCGGTATTCTTTTGTGCACAAGGTGGTAAAATGACAATTGCGAAAGGAATGTGTTGAAAAATATTTAACGAGCTGCGAATCGTTCGCGATGAATGGTTCAATTAAACGGTCCAGCACATTTCGAATTTCGATTCATTCGATTAACACTTTCAATTAATTACTGACGTACTACTTCTGACCGGAGCATAATGAACCACGTTATCGGAGATATTAAAGCACGATACGAGCTTTAAATTGTTTTCGATGATCGTTTAAAATTTCGCTTGTTTCCTGGTTGCAACGTGGCCAGCACTGTAAATATGATGCATATCATCATCAACCAGTGACCTTGGTAATTAATCACCGTGTTAATCGAAACGTTTGCTTAATAAGTACACCGGGAAAAACAGGTCCGCGATTCATTTAGCAATTATTTTATGCGATCCACGCGTAAAACCGGTGAAATGTGTCATGAAACACACGTACGCGGCCAACAAAGTGGAAAATTTCGAAACAACCCCTCCTGCTGCCACTAATTTCGATAATTTTATGACTAATTGATGCTCAATGAAAGGATCGAAACGTACTGAACGATTGATAAACAAAACGGCCCTCGTTTAATCGGGCTCGAAGGACATTCGGATATAGTGAAGTAATTTTGAGCATGCAACTGGAAAAATAGATCTTTCAAATCTCTTTCTAATTTTCTCACGAATTTCCACGAGGGACACAAAAAAGTAGTTATTAAATCAGGTTTTTGATGGTAACTTACGATATAACTACCTTTATAGATTAGTAGAAAAATTAATCAAAAATATGTTTCTTAAAAGTTTCAATTTGAGGAAAATTTGTAGTTTTTGGAATATTATTATATAAACTCTGTTGCTTAATTTGCATCGCAATGTCAAACTGTATAAAACTAAATGGACGATTAAAAAACATATTTTATTAAGTTTAAAGGGAGACCTTTATAGATGGTAGTTCTGAGAGGATCCTTTTTTCTCGGCGCATAGAGCCGCAAAGAACATTGTTGTCCGAAGCAACATTTTTTTGAAACGGCATCAGATGCATTCCTGTTTCGGACATCATACAACTGGATAATGTTTCACTCTGTATTAGTGTTACAGGTGTGCTCATTGTCATTCCCTGCTCCTGTTCACCTGAAGAATTTCACGTACCCAGATCCTTTTGTACTCCCTTTTCAAACGAACCATTGACCAAACTCAAAGATCTTCAAGTACTTTGAATCTTCCTGTGTGTCAATCACAAAGTCGGGTAATTGACACGTAACCGTGGTGATTTTAATAGAAGGAAAGAAACTATATTGAAATAGATCAAAATATAAAAAGGAATATTATAAAATGAAAATTTCCTTTCTGGTTTACGAAATTTTTTACTTTTGTAATTTTAAGTTCTTTTATTCTACTAAACAAGATAGTCACTGAATTGAAGTGTTAATTAAGACAAAATTTATTTTTGATACATTATCTATACAAATTTTGGAAAGAAGATGCGGTAACATTTTTTAAATAAAAAAGCTTACATTAGCTTTCACAATCTTTTTGAAAATTTTAACGCAACAGCAAGTCGTTTTTAATAAAAAAATATTCGAGCCTTATTAATTTATACAAAGAAATATTTGGAAAAACCTAATATTCCAGTTTCTATATTATTAAATATTTCTAATAATGATAGAAAAATTTGGCTAGGATTTAAACAATGTATACAATAAAGATTGCAAAACTTTTTTATACATGCTTTATTGCTAATACTTTAAGCTACAATCGCTTATACTTCATTTAATATATTTTTAATATTAAACATTATTGGCAAAAATTTATTTCCACATCCAATAACCAATCAATTCAATCACTTTTTGCCGTACGGTGATTTGGGGTTAGTGGTCAAGAAATACTGTCCCTTAACGTTGAAGTTAGGATTAGCACCACCCATAATAGCACTTGGGCTCGAATTGCATTTGCCACTTTTGTAATCGTCGAAACTGCTGCACGAACGTGCCACGAAATTGTTGCTGTTTATGGATTCGGCATAATATTCGTGGGAACGTGAATGAGAGCAGGATTCGCCTAAATCTGCTCCGCAACCATTTTGTGATGAGCCTCCATTGACGTAAAAATCAGCATCACCAAGATGGTTGTTGGTGCCTACGAGTTTACTTGTATGGATCACTTGCACATAAGCTGCAGCGCCCTGGGAGACTCTCTGGTCGTTTCCAACTCCATGGAAGTTGGGTCCAGCTGGGTCCAAGGCTGCAAAAGACATTTTACTTTTAAGAATGGACGCTATGTAGATTTGACTTCCACGGGGTTAAATTTCACCCTACCATGGTATTTAAGAGTTAGGATGCCCTAATATTAATAATAAAATTGAAAGCAATTTTTGAATAAAGATAGTCTATATCGCACCTAAGTGTACAACCATCGCCCAAATTAAAAAATTCAATGACTTCTACTCACCAACAACGTAACCCACTTTCCTCTTTGCATAATAAGATGAAAGTCCAGCCACATGAGCGCCAAGTGAATGACCAACTACGGTCGTCTTAGACAAATCCATTCCTCGCGATGCTAGAAAATCAATCATGCTAGCAACAAATCGGGCAACCTTTACAACCTGATTACTTGTCCATACGTATTCGTATTTCGTTATGCTACCCCAGTCGACTACGATGACATTGTAATCGCCATTTCGAAGAAATGCTGCAAAGTACAGGTGTTAATGTTAATTTCTACAGATAAAAAATTTTATTAACCCTTGAACAACGGAGCCTGGGTAAATCAAGACTTAAATTTACAAAATATAAATTCCAAAGGGCTCTGTCCAAGTCCGTCGTCCGAGGGTTAAGATATATGTACAAGATTATACCATCACGAATCGAGGTGCAAGCTTTGCTCTGATAAGAGTTTTGCCATCCATGGGTAACAATTTTTGTTGGTTTTCTCGGGTCAAAATGGCTGCGGCTCACACTGCCTACATCGCCAACATTTAGTCTTTCAGGGTTAGACGGTGTAGCTCTTGTGTATAGATAAAAGAAAACTCGACTCGGTAGCTCGCCAGCGCTTATCGATGTTGGATTGCTAGCTTGAGTTTGGGCCACATTTATTTGAACTGGTTTACCATTATCGTTTAGTACGTACGGTTGTTGGTTGTTAACAGCACCTGACACTAAAACACCTGCGAATAATATTTGTTATATTGAGTTCTAATAATTACCGAGTATCAAGAAAATCAGTCATTAATGCAAACTTTTTCTCAGGTAACTTTGTTACACTTTTAGCAGATTTTGTTATCACCAAAAAAGTACATAAATATTTTCAAATGGTAAAATTAAAATTATTCTATACATATGGTACTAACGAACAAAGTTAAAAGTACAAAATAATATACATATTGTAAATTTTGCATTATTAATTTATTGCATAACAACACCTTCCCTCAAAGTTATTTCCATTTTTTTATACACATTTATTTGCCTTAAAAATTTGAAGTTAATTGTACAAGTAGTTTTCGAATTATGCAATTTTTAATAACACTTGTACTGTATCAATTAAAAGTTCAAAATTTGCTAAAAGTGATCTTTTATTAATGATTTATGAATGATGATGAAAAATATTTTACATTTACCTATGAAACTGCTGAAGAGCAGGAAACTAATTGAAGCGTGCATCTTCATGTTTGCTACAATTTTGCTAGTAGCGTCGAGTGGAGACTCCTTTATAAAGCGACGAGGTTGCATTGTTGTGTATCAATTACAAGAAAATGTTGTACAACAATGAATAGAAAATAAAAGAGACATTAGAAGAGTATGAGCTAGTTCAATGAAAAGGAACTAGTTGTATGTGTCACGAGCTTTACAAACGATTATTAGAAGTATCGCTAATCAAAATATAAAAGAATTAGACTATTTTGTTAAAATTTGAATAGTTTTAGCACCGCGGAAAATAACTTCAAAAATTTATTCAAGAAAAAATGAAAATTGGTATAAATTCATTTGACAATAAAATTAATTTTGTTGGCTTTATAAACGATCAGGCCATTAACAGTCAATTAGAGTAATTATAATCACATTAAGCGCATTAGGTAACAAATAAAAACATCTGTTCGCATCATTTGCTCTGAAATATTGAAAGAAGATATACAATACAAATTGTGGCATTGAAATATACTTCGGCGTTAAATTTGCGTCAATTAAGTTAAGTTAACAGCTGTATACTTTCCATAATTAGGTCTGAAAGGTTCATGCACAAATTCGTCAGATACTATAGTCGTGACATAGAAACATATGCCAGTGAAATGAAGAGCGTGTAAAACTTTGATAACGTTTATTAAATAATGAAAGTATTTTATCATTTTTATCCAAGTTGAGAGTTGAAGGAATATGGCCAATTTAAGGAAGAAGAGATAAAAATGATAAAAATTATTCTCTAAACGTTTCCATCATTTCTTGCTTCCTTTTAAAATCATTTACTAAAACAAAGCCCAGTACCTAAAATGGAATTCACAAATATTATAATCACAGGAAAAGATATGTTTCTCTTAATATCCTTCGACAAATAATCACCTGTTGAATATTCTTATTCGGTGCAAACAGAAATGAAGGAAATGAGAAATTTCTTCAGGCTGAAGAAACGATAATTTGTGTATGTAATACGATTTCATACTATCGGCAGAGTTTAATTCAGTTATTTTAACAACGTTACGCGGTACACGTGTGATCACCTTCGGGGTACGAGATAAAGGAACGAAAGGAGATTTGAACAAGTTTCCAATTATAGATAAAATAAAATACTGTAGATTTGTTTAAAAAAATTCTTTATCTTATACATGGAACAAAATATTAATACAATTCATTCACCCAACAGTATCAAACATTATTATAACAAATTTCTACTTCGTTCAGATCTTAACTATTAATTATTCATTTCTTTCTGTTAGTTCAATATACCTCTCACTTTTAAATATTCATTCACCTTAAAAATTTGAAATTTATCAGGCAAGTAATTTTCATTCCGTGTAACTTGGAAAAAATGATCACAAAACTTAATCAATTCATCCAAATTATATCGTACACCATGGAAATTTTGTATAATTATCGGCTTGAGGGGTTAATACAAATACCATTAAAGAAACTTGATAATCGAGGTAGAAGGTCTATTTTTTACACATGGTGCTTCGCGTAGGGTGATCGCGAGTTCGTATTTAAATAATACGGACCCCTAACATTAAAGTCCGGGAGAAGACCACCCATGTGTCCAATAGGATTCGAATTGCACTTGCCGATTAGAAAATCCTTGAATCCGCCGCAATTTCGTGCCAGAAAACCATTATTATTAATTGACTCAGCGAAGTACTCGTAAGACCTTGAATGAGAACACGAGCCACCCAAATCCACTTTGCAACTATTTTGTGCATCCCCACCATTCGGATAAAAGTCAGAATCGCCGAGATCCTTGGTTAATCCGAGAAGTTTGCTTGTGTGGATTATTTGCACGTACGCTGCATCGCCTTTAGAAACCCTCGAGCCTCGATCGTTCAAATGGAAATTAGGTCCGGCTGGATCCAAAGCTGAAAGAGATATATCACTTTATAGAAGATTTATTTAAAAAATCCACGATTTATTCTGATTATTTTGAGAGCCTTTAATACTTGAAGAATGGTGCCTAAGTTAATCGTGACTCAAACTTACAAAACATATACAAAATTGAATTGAAATTGGGGCTCTCTCCATGGTCCGCCGACCGATTACCACAATATTGATATGTCGAGTAAGCTTAATATTATGGGTACTTACCAACAACGTATTGAGCTTTATTCCTCGCATAATAAGACGAAAGACCAGCAATATGACCTCCAAGAGAATGACCAACAATTGTCAGCTGAGATGGATTCATTCCCTGTGTCTGGAGATAATCAATCATACTACCGATGAATTGGGCAATCGTTGGGACCTGATTGCTCGTCCATACGTATGGTCTTCTTGATATGCTACTCCAGTCGACTACAATGACATTGTAATCACCGTTGCGAAGGAAAGCTGTAAAACATAGACAACCGTATTTTGAAGTATCGATGATTAATATTTTCAAAGACAATCTTGGTAGTATTTTCATTTTTGAATTATTTTTACTTTTTCTTCATGAATTATTCACCTTTTAATCTTGATCATAACAGATTATCAGTTTAGAAGAACATATAAAAGGTACATACCATCGCGAACCTTCGTACAAGCTTTGCTCCTCATAGAGTTCGTCCATCCATGAGTGATAATTTTCGTTGGTCTTCTAGGATTGAACTGGCTATTTGCCAAACTTCTGCTATCTCCAACAATTAGTCTTTTTGGATTATTCTGCGTGTTCTTCGTGTATAGATAAAAGAGAACTCGGTTCGGTAGGTCTTTCACTTTTACATTTGGTTCTGAATCAACTGCGTTCAAATCTATTTTGACTGGGTTATCATCGTCATCCAATACATAGAGATCGGTGTTTTGAGTCGGCGCCGCCTCGATATTACTGCTTAATACCAAAACACCTGTAAGCAAATTATTTTTTCTACTAAATTTTCATAACTAAAGGAGAATCGATAAAAATCACTTGATTTAGGTAATTTCTGAGACACCCTAGAGAGATGCTAAATTTTTAGAAGTTTTATGTAAAGTCGAATTAACCCTTTTAGCTTCATATATTAATATCAACAAATTTTTTGTATTGAATTAGGAACAGCTCTTTGGACCAAAAAGGGTTAAACAAGGTGTTGTGAAAAATTCTCTTCCCGAATGATTAATATAAAAAACAATGTTTACCGATTACACTGCCGAGAAATAAGAAACGAATCAAAGCGTGCGACTCCATGTTTACTTCGATTTTACTTGTGGCATTGATTGGAGGCTCGTTTATAAAGTCTCGAATCTGGTCCGAGCATCGATAAGATAAAAGTTCATTGTTTTGTACTTTTTGCGAGTAGATATTGCACGATAAGAATGGACAACGAAGTGGCATTTATATGATAAAACACGCGACTGAGGAAAAGTGTATTCATCTCGCGAGAAGAGTACTTATCTCGTTGAGGAATATAGATATTTTAATAGTTTTGTTTGTTCAATTATGAATAATATAAGACACCATAGAACTGTTCAAACAGATCTTTTATTCAGATGCTCAATAACTTTACAATTTAAAATATGATTATTAAAAATATATATCGATCAGATCTGAATAGTCGATAAACATACATTCATAGGAACTATCAGTCAGAGTTAAAGATCCATGGTTACGGCCACACCGTCTAACCCTCCGCGTATGGTTCTTCCGTGTTCGTAGACAAATAATACTTTCCCTCAGCACTATAATCCGGCGTGACACCGCCCATACGTGCTGTAGAATTCGAATCACATAAGTTGAATGCGAACTCAATGTAGTTGTCACATTGTAGAGCTATAAAACTGTCATCGTTTATCGATTCGGCGAAGTATTCGTAAGATCTTCCATGAGAACACGATTCGCCCAGGTCAAGTCCGCAACCACCTTGGGGTAGGGCACCGTTGGGATAGAAATCAGAATCGCCGACTTGGTAAATCAAACCAAGAAGCGTGGTTGTGTGAATCGCTTCCACGTAATCGGCATCACCTTTGGAAATTCTGTGGCCTTTATCCTTTAGATAAAACAGAGGTCCGGCTGGGTCCATACCTGAAAGAAATGTCACTTTTATTCAAATCTGTCGAGAGACACTTGTGTGACAGGTTTAGTAGGAGTCGAACTATAGGAGGTGTTTAATTTAGATTGATACTCACCAACAACGTAGCCCACTTTTTGTTTCGCATAGTAGGATGAAAGTCCAGCAATATGAGCACCAAGCGAATGACCAACCACGGTTATATTAGCTGGATCTTGGCCTTGTGATACAAGGAAGTCGAGCATGAAAGAAACAAGTTTGGCAACGTTCACCACTTGATTACTTGCCCATATGTAATTCTTTCCCGATATCTCCCTCCAGTCGACTTGGATGACATTGTAATCACCATGTTCAAGGAAAGCTATAAAAAAAAAATTGAATTAAAATTAGGATTCTCTTCTTCATGGTCCGCCATCCGTGTGTCAACAGTATTTTGTGTCGTTTCATGTCAAATGACACGAACCCTTGACTTTCTTAACCCTTATTATACGTATATATACCATTGCGAATGTTTATGCAGACATCATTGTCACAAGAGCTCATCCATCCATGGGTGACAAGTTTCGTTGGTTTATCAGCGTCGAAATGACTGTTGGTCAAATTGTCGACATCACCGATGATCAATTCTTCGGGAGTATAATTTGTAGCCCTTGTATACAGAGTAAAGGAAACGTAGTTCGGAAGTTCATTCATAGTTAAATTCGCTTCCTCACTTGTGTTGGTTAGATCCAATTTTACTAGATTGCCACTCGTGTCTATTACGTAGAGGTCCAATGCCGCTCCGACATTGTTGTTGTTCAATATCAGCAGCCCTGTGAATAATATTTTTTCATGCTTAATATTTTGGGGTTTTCATAAATTTATGAGAAACTGTGACAATCAACGTGTTAATGAGTACTGGAAGTCAAACTTCTACTATTTCATTGGAAATGTGTAAGGCTGGATTATAGTGTGTGGGTAGGAGGAAATTTGGGTCGGACTCGGGTTGGGCATTTTTTTTTCCGAATTTTCGGATATCCACGTCTCCTTATTAGATTAACCCAATTTACTAAACAGAGATATGTTCCAAATGATAATTCCAAATGATGTTCCAAATATATTAATACATGCTGTCTATCTGTTATGTACATACATATTAACTTAATTGGTAAACAATTACAATTTGACGATAGCAGCTGATAAAAGGTGATAACGATAATTTATAACAATGTACTTTTTCACAAATAATATGTTTCCTCTCCTTCAGCGATTAATATAAGAAGCAATATAAATATTTACCCATGACGCTGCTGAGGAGTAAGACTCCGATCCGAGAGTATATCTTCATATTTATTTCCATCTTTCCGGGAATACCGCGTGTACACACCTATATACAACAATTGCTATGATAAAATAAAATTTCATCCTTGAACGTGGCAATTGTTATTCAGAATATGATTTTATATCTTTTTAAATTTTCTACTTGTAAATCCCTATCGCATTTTACACTTGTTAATGAGGTGTACTATTATCTTTGCTTTTAATAACATCGAACATTTGATTTGGTAATAAGATTTTGTTAGCGAGTAATATTTATCTAAAATGCAAATTTCGAATATTAAAACTTTTAACAAGTTAAATACAAAATTAGAATTACATAACTGAAAAATGTAAGATGATTCCACAAAAGTCACTAGACTTACGTTTTACCACCTTTTCGTTCCAAAGACCAATGGCAACTGTGTTATTTGTTTCTTTTTCACAGGTAGAGGGATATTTATATTTACTGTTTACAACCGTGTTACATTTATCTTTGATATTTTGCATATCTAATAATATACATACGACATAAAAAACAATGGACATAAATGAAAGATAAAATAATCCAATGTGTAATTAAAATTTTTCATTATTTCCTTAATACCCTTTTCAACCAACAATTCAAAAGAAACTAATTGCATTGTTCTGTTAATAATAAACTGAAAATGTAGAAGATTGCAAGTTTTGCATATTGTAATATATAAGTAAATAAGAAATAAGAAATAAGTGCATTTTCCTGTCACTCATTTCAATTAGTATATGATGTTTTTATCCTTAAAAGCAATGTTATTTCCAATAATAAGTGCACTTCGGCAATTGCTAGTAACTACTATAATTTTAATGAGTACATTATATAACGAAGATTGTTGATTATTTTGTTTTTGCATTAGCTGAGTTTGAAACGTTAAAAGCATATCCGATAGATATTGTAATGATTGATGGCTGACTGATTCCATAATTGTCATATAGAGCAACGACCAGTTTTCTTCAATTCTTTTTCTCTTAATGTTCATTATTTGATTGCAAATAAAATTTGAAAAATGCAACATTTATAAAAGTACTTTGATGTCTTCGGTTAATTCACTTGTAAACACTAAACGAAATGATTCAGCCCACTTTAGCAATTGATTTCGTGTACAGTTGCGTGCTTTTCTTTTCGATAAAGTGAAAAATCGACTCGAGGTTCGTTATCTTCAACTACCTGAGACAACTGTCGCGCAGAGTCTCTTGTACTTGTTATCAGGACCTTGTTTTTGTCTTGTGCAAATAAATATTTATCCATCATAAACTAGTTACAATATTGTTCATATCAGCTGTTGATATTATACAAAATGGACCACTAATAAAAATATTGATCATAATACATTTTTATAATCACTAAAGATGCACGAAAACAGGAAAATGTCGGGATTGGTCGGATCGGGTTCTCGAAAGTACAAGAGACTCTTATTTTCACATGGATTTGCAAGTATGTCGCTCTTCTACCATCGTAGCCTATGAAAATGGTAGTTCTACTTCTTTGCAAATGATAGCTTGAAAGATTGAAAGATTTTTTACGTACCCGATATTTTAGGATTCTCGAACGCCTCTAATAATCACTAATTAATTGTCCGCGTAAAAAGGGTGAAAAAATGATCGCTGCTTTTACCAGCATTAGAAAGTTTCAAAACTTAATATTTAAAATGTTTTTTCTTTGATAATTAATATAAGAGATGCTGCACTTACCGAAGACACTGGCGAAAAGCGAGAAAGCAATTAATACTCAGGTCTCCATATTTCTTTTCTTTTGTGACGATTCCGGATGACAACTCTATTATATATCGATGGAAGGCATTGAGCCAAACGTTAAAAATAAAATTACAATGTTTTGTAACAATGTCACCTGTGACACAATAATAAATTAAAAATTATACAACATTACTAGGATAATTAGAGGAAAAGATAATTTATGAGACGTAATTATATGTTATTTATCTCTTCGTACATTAAAAAGCACTATAACATGGTCTGAAATAAGATATGGCTGTATTAGAACACTAATTAAGAACACTAAGTTTTTAATTAATATCTCGGAAACTAATAGGAAGTCGAAGATACCACTGTATGTTTGGGGTCCCTTCCCCCCTCCCCCTCTCCCTCAAAATTTCATCTTGATCGACGACCGGTCGTATTCGAAACTTTATCCAAAAAGTTCCTTATAAATAACATTTATTTGCAAAATATTAAAAATTTGACATGTACAGAAAAAATGTCTTCTACAAAATAAATGATTTTTAGGGGTGTGGGAGGAAAAATCTCGGAGTTATAGGTTTAAGAGTCGGAAACCTGTTGTGCTGGTCAACTCTCGGTGTTCTTTTTTCCTTACCAGTCGCAAGTTCTGACCCCCGACGAAGGGTTCCTTTCTCAGACAGAATCAAACAGGTTTGCGTTGTATCAGGGAATAAAAACCAGTATCCTTTGAACCTTTCTTTTTGTACCAACTTCCGCTCCGAATATTAACCATAAGCGCCTTCATTCACTATCTATATTTTTTCCTTTCAATGGATTATTTCTTTTTAATCCATTCCGTATAAATTCTGCAAAATAAGCGGTATCATGCTTATACTTACAATTAGTGGATCAAATAAAGAGAAAGGATAAATTTCAATATTTATTTCAATATTTTTCTAATAGATAAGAAAATTTATAGGAAGTTACAAAATGAGATACATATCTCTCACGATAAATTAATCTCAACTCAGGATAAATTAATATTGAATCACTTAGAAAATTCATTCCTAAGACAGTCCCAGCTGCAAAAAAGCAGCATTTTTTCGCTCCATAGAAAAAAAATGCAAGAAGAAAAAAAAAAGTGAAAAGAAGTGTAATTTTTTCGTTGGGGTATGGATCATCGATGAGAAATCGTTCTTAGACACGGCGAAGACACAGTGTCCAGGGTGCGGGCGCTTGCGTGAAACACGAAAATGAGGGGGTTGGGGGTGTTGGGACGGCACGAGGGGGTGGGAGGGGGGGGGTGAGTTTGGGGATTGTGAAAGCGAGGGCGCCTGCAGTGACTAGCCTCCATCGATTTACCGTGAGCCGCCATCTTGCCACCCTTCGCTACGGGGGTTGACCACCCCCCTCCTCCCCCTCGTTGGTCGGTACCGACCCCTCTAACCACCCACCCGCACCGCCACCCTCCCGGCAGAGGCAGACATTTTGAAAAATGATTCCGAAAGTCATCGTGGCTCGGTGGGTCGTTTTTCAGCCCCGACCTTTTCTATCCGGCGCGGCCGACCCCTTCTGTTTTTCGGCCGCGTTACCCTCCCTCCACGTCGCTGGCCGAACGAGGGAAGAAAAAGCGTGACGCTGAGCAAAAAGAAGGTGGATCGGAACGCGGAGAAGACAGGGAAATAAATGAAGGGAACCGAGACGGTGGATGGTAATTTTCGCGATACGCGGATATTAAGTTCGCGAGTGTCGCGTCCATTGGATATCTGTGAACCAAGATCCATACTTACATGGATGGGAATCCGTTCTGTTTCATTCGGAACTTATATACCTAATTAAATGTGCACTCGATATTTTGATTTTTAGGGACTTCTTTTGGGAGGTGCTCAAATGCATTTGTAATAATTGTTAATTATTGACTCTTATTAATACCATCGATTAACTGAAAATTAATTAATAAACCTCTGATTGTTATTAATTCGTCTATAACTCATTGTTATAATTAAGAGAAAGTTGAAAGTAATTGAAAGGATTATAATTAAATTATAAAGTGACAGCGGAACGTATCCTCCGTTCGTATGATTTCACTTGACGAATTACAAGTTCCTGTCGCGAGCTTTAATGCAAGAAATCATTTCGATTCACGATACCACTCGAGGGTGCGAGAAAATAACAAAAAAGATGTGAAGAGATCTATGCGGATCGCGAACACGAGAAGGGCTTGCCGCGCGAGTGGAGCGTTTTCAGAAGTGGGCTTAATTGCGTCAAAGTCACGTCGTCTCAGGTTTCAATGCGGAATGAATTCGCGCTTTAAAGAGACGGTTGCAGCTCGTGTATGAACATCCTGAATCAAAAGAGGTCGTGAACAAAAGGGGCGCCAGAGAAAGATTTCAATCCCGTCTACCAATCGGGAGATAAACAATGCCAGCCTTTCGAGAATTCACCGTGCGGTTGATCGGTTTTCGATTAATCTGAAAAAAAATTTTTGCTTTCCCCGGGAAAAAAGGAAGGAAAAAAAAAAAAAAACAAAGATTGGCGCTACCTGCCGTTGGAATATATCGGGGGAAATCAGCCGGTGAAAAAGTTGCAATGAAAATATTATATGTTCGCGAGAAAATAGCCGCGATCTATTTCCACCCCTTCGCGATGTAACGATAGGATTTGATGCTTATTTTTATCGTTTTCAATCTTTGTGAATCGCGTCTGATCGTTACGGTACCTTTTAATTGGTTTTAATTAATCAAGATTCAATATTTCTGTCGTGGACTTTCACGGTGAAAATTAATTGGAAAATGTATTTTAGACGTAGTCGGTTCTCTTGTGAAGTATTATTAAAATAATTGTTATTTCTTCTTTTTTTTTAAATAGGGAGAAACTTAAATGATTATTATATTGTTAAAAACAAGAGGTTTCTCAGTTGGTGAAGCCTAAATAACGAGAAGTATAACATTACCAATAAAAGTTAAATAAGTAACAATCCCTTCCAATACAAACAGGATGTAACAAAAATGCAACACCATAGCTACCGCCGATATGGGTAATTGAATTTTAACGGGAATAACAGGAAGCCGACAAATTTACGGGATTGCGTTACACGATTCTCGTCCTGTGACTATATCTCTTCGTTGTCTGTTTCCCCGATATATACTTCGCATTCGATTAAAAAAAGATCGACTTGTAGCGGGCCAGATGGTGCCATTTTCACCCTTCGATCGTTTTCGCGAACAAGAAATACCTAAGAAACTTAATCAGCATTTGAATCTAATCGACAATCAATAATTGGTAATTTTCAAATATTTTCAAGGTAGCATCGTTTCAAAATTTTAATAGAATTCATTAAATTCGTTTAATGAAAAATTATAATAATTTTCCAAAGTATCTAATTCGTTTAAAAATGATACATTTGACTTTACTTTAATATTCTTAAAAAATAATATGAGTCTAAACCGATAATTACATATGTGACAAAAGGAATGCGAAGGGAAAGGAAAAAAAAAAATGAAGGAGGGTAAGGTAAATTAAAAGGGCGCGATTGAGGAGAAATTAAGGAGAGATGGAGGAAGGTACTACAGGTGCTCGGAAAAATAGAATCAACGCCCGGCACCGGTAATTGAATTTCGACGAGGATAATGGGCGGCCGACAAATACGGCCGCGACCACGTTAGATCGCTTTCGATGTGTGCCGTGCGGGCATTCAGCCAGGCCAGGATGGATCCTTGATGGCTAGATTTAAAAAACCGCCCCATCCAACCGGTGCCCCTCACACGGCCTCGTCGCCATGTGTTACGGTTCGCGATGGTAGTTGACGATGGTGTTGGTGTCACCCGTACCGATGATGGTGTGCGCTGGTCCAGTCGGCGGTCTCTGTATAACTGATGGTGCTTCTGAGTGTCAGGGCCAGGCTGTCCACTTCTTTGCGAGACTGTGAGTGTGTGTTATCGCTATGGGATACCTACAACATTCGGCGGGCTTGTATTGTGATTCCCAGATACCAACGTCGTGTATTTGCCTCCTAAGCATGATCGGTATATTGGCACGCGGATATCCGGCCAACCTTCGCGTCATTTTTTTTTTTTTTTTGTTCTCTAACGCTTTTTGTTTGCACGGATAGTCTACCGGAAAGGGGGCTGCTGGACAAATGGACAAATTTATTTTAAATAATTCTATAAAAATACATTCCCCCTCTCGAACGAATGAAAAACCCTTAACGCTCTAAGAACCTATACCCGATTAATTCTTCTCAGAGAAATAGAAGATCTCAATCACGGAATGGTTTTAAACGCCTTTCGATCCAATTTTCTCTGAAGAAAAACATTTTCATTCTTCAATCTCCAATCCCCTCGAGCCCCAGGGAATAAAGACGCGGAGGTGCAGGAAGAAAAAGGAGAAACGGAGGCAATTAAGGTCGATCGAGGAAGCCGTCTGTTCTTTATCTATACAGCCATGAGCATACATCGAAAGTTATTGAACGACAGGCGACGATGCCGGGAAACGAACATGGAAGA